CAAACTGCAATGACACCACAGTGATGGCATGTTGGCAATGACATCATTATGTAAACACCATTGTTACACACTTGCTTTTCTATCAGGTAATAATGTAGGGATTTGAGCTAGCCATTTACTGGCCAAATACTCTCATTCTGTTGTGGCATAGCCTATTTCTCAAGGTCATAATTTTTTACTCATGAAAGCAATGGGGCTTTCATCCACTTCACTTGAGTTAGGCCAGGTCAGGAAATAGATACCTCAAGGACTATTTATTGTGGTAGGGCATGATAATCAAATCTCAAAAGCCTGCCAGAGTTTCCCAGTGCTTATACCAAACAGAATCAAGGCAGGGCAGTCTTGAGTTTCTTTCTCACTCTCACCTCCCTTCCAGAGTTAAGTTGACATTAACTTAATGGTTCTTGTATTCTTTCTTCAGGGTTCTCTCCATAATCCTTTACACCTGGTGGTCCTTATTCAAGGACCGCCTGATACCTCCCCACTCAGAAGTCCTCTCTCGCAGCTTTTATGCTCATCAAGCCCTGAGAATACTCACTCCTTGATAATAAGGCTTCCTCCCAAGGAGGCTGGTGTTTTCCTTCTACCACAGCCCCAACATTTGAAACAAGTATGTAAGTCAAGCTATTTGTTTAAAGGTCTTGTTGCATATGTGTGCCCCCTCTCTTGCCCCCTGTGTATGTCCATGATCAGGGGACAGCTATTTTAAGATGGTGGGCACATCAGGAGTTTTGAGAGTGTGCTAACCAGATGGCTGCTACGTATGGGCTTCAGCCAGCCACCACATAGTCATTTCTTAGAAGGCAAAATGCTGAGGTTGTTCCCTGCCATTCCCTTTAGTCTTGCAGGATACTCTGCCACCAAAGCATAGTTCTGTCTTTTTTCCTGGCATGTGGGCACCATTGGAAACAAAGCACTAGGCTGTCTCCATCTCCCATTTTCTAAGAATGCCTGTGAGCCTCATGCACAACATGCTAGTATCCTATTTTGCTTTTTCAAAACAAACATTAAGTATTTTTAGAATTGTCAGATGCATCAGGGGGCTGAGCAGGGGTTGGGGGAGATGTCCACAGGTGTAGTGGGGCCCATGGGCTCCATGCTGGGGATCTCATCAGGTCTGTCACATGCATTACACGCCTACTGGCCAGGGCTGCCCCTTAGCTTGGGCTCATGAGCTTGACCCAACCAGGACTGCAGAGAAAATATTGCTGAATAAATACACTCAACGAACCCCTGTGGGAGAGGCAGGAGGATAGTAGCATGGAATGCTGCCAATTGCTCCATTCTAAGGCTCCCTCCCTCCTGGTCACATGACCCAGAGGGAACACACAATGATGCAACACAAGGGGAGGGCCAGAACACACATGCGCGACTCACATGTGCACATCCAGATTAGTCTCTAGGGAGAAAGTGCACACGCTCATGCACAGATACCACATGTTATAAGTAATACATGTTACTTCATTACACAGAATAGATGCTTCCTATGGCCACTGATGAGAAAGGGCTTGGAAAGACTTCCAGAAGCCATGTGCTGCTTCCCCTACCTAAGTTATTCTAAAAGTCATCCAAAGCTACATCTCTCAAGACAGATTAGTGAGCAAAGTTGTTTTAAAAACTGGTGCTCCATCGCTTTCCAGTTTTTTAAAGCCTTTAAATGTTTCTCACACATAAAAAAATAAGGAGTGAGTCTTTATCTGCCTTTGCATGAAGGCTGCAATGTCAAGATCTTTTCTAACTACATTTCAACTGATAAAGAGAGAAACCGCAAGCCTCTGGTTAAAACAATGTAGTGCTGTGCAGTCCTGATAAGACCCCCAGCACTGCAATATCCTTCAGTTTAAGTTAAGACTCTCTAAAATTACCTAAATGTTCAGCACCACTAATAACGTTTCTAATGAAATGACCACCTTATTAAAATCGCACCAATCAATACAGTTCAACCTACATTCTGCCCAGCTTTCCATTTTATTACCATAATGAAGAGGCTGGTCACCAGCAGCTGGCATTTCATAGCTCGAACCCAGGATCTCATTCCCATGCCTTCCTCTTCTTACCACTGACTGCTAGAGAAGTTGCTAAAGGAACTGCCAGAAAAAAGTCGCATCATTGCATCTTGGGAAATGGCATAATGACGAAATGTGTGTGTTTTTTTTTTTTTTGGGTACTTTCATGTGACTGTTTTATTTTAATAACCTAGAAAAAAAAAATCCCAGAGGGGC